TCAATATCGTCAGTTCATCAGAATCCTCTCTTGTCGGTATACAAACACCTTCAGCTACATCATCAATGGCTACTTTAGTACTGTCATCTGCTACTCAACTTGACTCTTTCAGTATAGAAGCTACATCATCAATGCCTGCTTTAATACTGTCATCTGCTTCTCAACTCGACTCTACATCATCACTGCCTACTTCAAGTTTAACACTGTCATCTGCTTCTCAACTTGACTCTTTCAGTATACAAGCTACATCATCAATGCCTACTTTAATACTTTCATCTGCTTCTCAAATCGACTCTTTCAGTATACAAGCTACATCATCAATGCCTACTTCAATACTGTCATCTGTTTCTCAACTTGACTCTACATCATCAACGCCTACTTCAAGTTCAATACTGTCATCTGCTTCTCAATTTGACTCTTTCAGTATACAAACTACATCATCAATGCCTACTTTAATACTTTCATCTGCTTCTCAAATCGACTCTTTCAGTATACAAGCTACATCATCAATGCCTACTTTAATACTGTCATCTGCTTCTCAAATCGACTCTTTCAGTATACAAGCTACATCATCAATGCCTACTTTAATACTGTCATCTGCTTCTCAAACCGACTCTTTCAGTATACAAGCTACATCATCAATGCCTACTTCAATACTGTCATCTGCTTCTCAAATTCACTCTATATCATCAATTCATATCCTGTCATCTAGACCTCACTCTTCAAACAGTGGACATACTCCTCTATCTAGAACAACAATACCTACAGTAACTTCAATTACTGTAGTAACATCTTTCTTCCATATTAATTCTCCCTCTCCCTCTCTCTCTCTTCCTTTAATGAATTGCCCAGAAACTAATCAATGGGAAAGCACTAAACCAGGACAATGGGCAAATGGCACTTGTCATAAAGGAACGTTTAATGGTTAGCGTCACTTGTAATATAATAAATTAACCAACTATTTTCTATTTAGCCACAAGATATTGTGATCTTAATGGAAGATGGGGTCAACCTAACGCAGTGTCAGTAAGCGATTCATAGAAATTATGTCAAAAGTAATTTGATATTAAATACTGCCTTCATTTTTGGCATACCTGGTATACATGTAGATTAATATATCGCATTATGTTGCTCTTGAATCACTATCACAACAACTGAATGACTTTCCAGCAGCTCAAAGCATTGTATTACTGGACTTCATCATCACAAACAGCACTATAGAATCAGATAATGAAACAACACAGGTATGTAGTTGGTTATACATGTACCTTGCCTTAAGCACAAAGCATGCACTTTACAAAATAGTTAGTATTAAAATTTCTGTTAGTGAAATAATACAGTTGGCTTCAAATAAAACGGTATCAT